ACTGTACACCGTTTCATCTTTACATCTTCGTTCATAGCCAGCTATTAATAATTGCACGGCGAGTCTTGCTCGCATAGCATCAGGTACTTCGCCAGGCGGATTAACAAGAGTTGTTGGGCGGCCATCAATTATTGCTTTTATATATAGGTAGACGAACACACCACAGTCAAATCTGCAGAACAGAAGGCAGAACAGAAGACTAAATCAGACATTCTCGCAATAATACAATGTAGCTATAGAACTAATGCAAATAGAAACATGATAGGTAATAGAACTAACCGCCCAATTTGCCGCTCGCATGTGACGGCTTCATATTGGAATACTCTGCGCACATTTTGCTCAACAAAGTCCACGCGCTGCATATCAAAGAATTTTATAATTTTGTTAACCGGCTCCAACCACGATTCGTGCCCGGCCGAACTATAGTGCTTGACAACATCATCCCTCAGGTCAACTTCAACCAGATGCCAATGGTCGTCCCTGACCAAAGGGATCAATAGATGCATAATGCGGAGGGCGGTATACTTTTCAATGTATGTCAAAAATAGTTCGTAAAAGTTGGGTTCGGAGCTGTATAATGTATGCTGCAAGCACGGAGATAGAACTAACATTAAACAGACTAGAACTAACATGATAAGGTATAGAACTAACATGTTATACCGTAGAACTAACATATTACTCATTTAGAACTAACATGATAGGGAATAGAACTAACATGGTACTGAATAGAACTAACATGATAAGGTATAGAACTAACTAACATGTACTTACAAGAAAGAACACCGATACGAGACCATATCCTTTGCCAAGCGCATCCACGCTAATCGTGTCCAGCACTGACTCAACCATCTGTAATATTAGAAATACATTAAAGATCTAATTAAGCCATACATTTTCAACTTTGCCTTGAAGTATAATCTAACCTTGTCGTCAAGCCGGCCACCTCGGAGCAAAGTCAACAAATCTGCTCTGCTGATGCTGCTATTCGACGTTTCAATAACCTTATATCTCCTGAAACCCAGAACTAACTGCAATTAGAACTAATACTTAACAAATAAGAATAAAAATAGTCAACTGAATCATACATGTGTATCTTCTGAGAGCAGAATTTGGATAAGAAATCATTTTCAAGTTTGTTGAGTCTGGATGCTGCTAGAGGTGATATAGTAAAATTATGTACGAAAGCACCCGTGCTATCGATAATGCGGATGTTAAACAAAGACGAGTCTGTAATATCTGTATTCAGCTCTGCCAATAGAGCTACCTCTTCACGAGTCATCGGCTTCAAACTCATCACATCCCAGTTGCCGATTTGATTATCCGGAAAAAATTGAATAATCGTGTTAACTTTTTGCCCCTTTTCAGGACTTGAAATAATATCTATAGTCGTCATTTTCTTTTTCTTTCTTTTTCCTTCAGTATATGGGGTCCTCCGCCATTTAGATCTCTTGCTTGCCCTTCGTGGCTTTGGGCTACCCATTGCTTTCTCTTCGACATTACCAGTTAGCACTTCTACAATTCTGTCAACGTCGTGCGTACTATTCACAAGATGTAAATCCTCACTTGCTTCCTTTGAAGCAACATGACTCTCATCCGTTAATGTGCTATCTACAATAACCTGTGCATGTTCAACATGATCGTCGTCCCTATTCTCATGTTCCTCTTTCATATGTACATGTTCCTCAGCCTCACTATCTTCTTTCGCATCAACCTTACTATCTACATTTAAATCAACCAGCAAATCACCCAACTTATCAGAAGCCTCTTCCCCCTTATCTACAATATCCTCCTTCTTATCTGCAAAATCAGTAGGTTCTTCTGCAAAAACTTTGATATCTACATCAACCTCGTCTGCAATATGCTCCTCTTCATTACGCTCTTCTACAATATCCTCCTCCTCTCTTTGAACAACGTCAACATGATGCTTAACATCCTCTTCTACATTCTTATGTACATTAAGCTGCGTGTTTGGGTCTTCACTATATACACTGCTCGGTTTAGACCTCTGTTCCTCTTGATTTACCCGCCGCTTCTTCCTTTTTCCATTTGCAATCTTATCATGTCTTCTTAAATCTTTAATTATCTTGTTCAGCCTGTTGATCTCAATCATAAATTCTTTGGTCTGCTTTGTGTCATCCAGCGATCTTTTGAGAAATTTAGCAGAATTTCTCCACAATGTAAGTTGCTGATCTATGGGAAGACATTTGATCTCCTCCTCATTGTCAAAAACGTCCATATGCTTTGCCATGGTCTGATATTAATAAGAGATTATAATTAGGATATTGTTTTTAGTTATTGTAAAATGAGTAAGACTTAACATAAGGGGATACGTACGTAGCCTACAGAGAAGTTCCCAGGCGTTTTCTCCTGGCTAGCCTTCCTCCTCTTTGTCTCGCGCTTATGATGCGCAACTTTTCTCCTCTGTGCAGCGGGGAACGCCTGCTCAACTAGAGGAGGAGACACTTCCTCAATTTGCCTGTGGACAAATGCTATTGACGCTGCCTTAGCCTTCTCCGTAATAGTCACCACCTTCATAGATGGGACTTTCATGCTATCCGGTGCCCAATTTGTCATTGGGGGTCTGGAGCTATCTACGAGACCATATTTTTTAATGCCAGTCATCTCGTAGTACCATAGCTGTAGCAAATATATTTCGCATTTAAGTTAATATACTTCAGAACTAACAAGAGCGTTAATAGAACTAACAAAAGAACTAACAGAACTAACACACTGAGTATCAGAACTAACAAAACAGACAATAGAACTAACAAAACAGTCACTTAGAACTAACATGCTGTACATTAGAACTAACATTAGAACTAACACGTAAACAAATAGAACTAACATGCTACACATTAGAGCTAGCATGACACTGTACAGAAATAACTCTCATCAGAACAGCAAATAGATCTAACATGGTACCTATCAGAACTAACTCTCATTAGAACTAACAAAACAGTCAATAGAACTAACAAAACAGTCAATAGAACTAACAAAACAGTTAATAGAACTAACAAAACAGTCAATAGAACTAACAAAACAGTCAGTAGAACTAACAAAACAGTTAATAGAACTAACAAAACAGTCAATAGAACTAACATGGTACTCATTCAGAACTAACTCTCCTTAGAACTAACAAAACAGTCAATAGAACTAACAAAACAGTCATTAGAACTAACAAAACAGTCAATAGAACTAACAAAACAGTCAATAGAACTAACAAAACAGTTAATAGAACTAACAAAAACAGTTAATAGAACTAACAAAATAGTCAATAGAACTAACAAAACAGTCAATAGAACTAACTTGTTAGTCATTAGAACTAACAAAACAGTTAATCAGTCAATAGAACTAACAAAACAGTCATTAGAACTAACAAAACAGTCAATAGAACTAACAAAACAGTCAATAGAACTAACAAAACAGTCAATAGAACTAACAAAACAGTCAATAGAACTAACAAAACAGTCAATAGAACTAACAAAACAGTCAATAGAACTAACAAAACAGTCAATAGAACTAACAAAACAGTCAATAGAACTAACAAAACAGTCAATAGAACTAACAAAACAGTCAATAGAACTAACAAAACAGTCAATAGAACTAACAAAACAGTCAATAGAACTAACAAAACAGTCAATAGAACTAACAAAACAGTCAATAGAACTAACAAAACAGTCAATAGAACTAACAAAACAGTCAATAGAACTAACAAAACAGTCAATAGAACTAACAAAACAGTCAATAGAACTAACAAAACAGTCAATAGAACTAACAAAACAGTCAATAGAACTAACAAAACAGTCAATAGAACTAACAAAACAGTCAATAGAACTAACAAAACAGTCAATAGAACTAACAAAACAGTCAATAGAACTAACAAAACAGTCAATAGAACTAACAAAACAGTCAATAGAACTAACAAAACAGTCAATAGAACTAACAAAACAGGTCAGCCTTCGTGACTCGGCCGCACCTGTAGGTGCAACATTTTCCCTGTAAAAACAATTCGAATTTGTAGGATCAATAGAACTAACGGACTAATATTAGAACTAACAAAATCTACATTTACATCTCCGTCCTAGAACTAACATTGAAGTCAATGTACTAACATTGGAATCATCTAGAACTAACATTTGAATCAACCTAGAACTAACATTTGAATCAACCTAGAACTAACATTGGAATCAATCCAGCACTTACATCATGTGTACTCATCTACAACTGGTATTTTTGAGATGAACTGAATTTACGCAAAATTAGGTCGATTTCCCAGATTCTCGATAACATAGAACATACTGTTTTTCGGGGGAGGGTTGGATGGTACGCTCGGCCGTCGAGGGTCGTCTTTTGCTGTCTCGACGTGCTATCGCCTCCTTTTGCATCTCCATTAGGGTTTGCGTCGCCTCCTCCGCGCTTTCAAGCCCAGACGATACGTCTTGGCCTTTCGAGGCGCGTCGGTGGTCGACCTCGAAATCGGAAAATGATCCTTCCCTGGACGACATGATTCAGGCGAAAACCCTAAAACTGTTGAACGGCGGTGAGAAATTGGACACAATCTCGAGTTTCTGAGACAACGAAGAGGTGGAAGAGAGAGAGAGAGAGAGAGAGAGAGAGAGAGAGAGAGAGAGAGTACTTGAATAAGGATGGGGCGCGTTAACCGAGTTCAGTCTCATCAGAAGGGCAAGAGCGTAACTTCCGCCTTTGTTCTTCTGAAAAAGAGTAGTTAGGGGTCCCATAACAAATACTATGCGTATTTGGGGCTAATACACATGGGCCGAAATACGAGGGGGCTTGTCACATGAAGTTCCTCATTTTGGGGCCTGGACACAATTTTCCCTAATAAAAAAGTAAATAAACTTTTTCTTTAGCACACGCTCCCAAAATTAACAAAAGACCCATAAGTTGCACAGTCCAAAATTCCAAACGCTATGTATCAACCGTCGGATCAAACTAAACATAGAGCCGTCCTTTTCTTTCTTTCCCTTTTTACCCTCGCCCTATGAGCGCGGGACAGGAAAGCAGGCCCGAGGGGCTTTTGGTAATTTATGCATCTCGCCGTCTCCGAGTCTCTCGTCGAGCGAAACGCAGGGAGCATCATCTCCTTCGCTTGAGTACGTGCCCTTTTCCCCCATTTTTTCTCTCCTTTTTTTTTAAAGCTAATTTTACAAATTTCGAAATGATTTAATCAAATACAAAACTGAAACTTTATAAATTACGCAGTTTCTCGATTCTATTTGATGTTGAAATTTAGGGTTTTTTTTTAGCTAGCTGAGGTTTTGGGTGGATCTATGCTCTTAGAGAGAAAAATGGTGGATGGTGATAATATTGATAACAGGTTTATTTTAATTTTAATTTTGGGAAGCATGATCTTTGATTCACCATGGATCATTAACCCAAAAGGCCGATTATTGTTATGTGATAAGGATTAGAATTTATTTAAATCATAATCCCCTTTCAATTTGAACTCGATTCAATCTGTGTCAAATTAGTACTTTGACTCCAATTGTTTGGAATGCAAGCCATAATCAAGAGATGATGGGTTGATTTATTGAATGTGTCGACGCAGTAAACGGTAATGGGATAAGGAAAGATGAATTTTGTTCACAACATTCTTTTTTTTTCTTTCCCTGATTAGTTTTGTTTATTCGTATCGTTTGATTAGATTTTATTACATAGATAGTTTCTAGAGAGAGCGCATTGATGAGTCGAAACTTTGATAAATTGAAAAAAGATGAGGAAACCTTAACCGCGAAAACAATTGAAGGGAAACATGGGTTCATCTTCTGACATAGTAAAGTATGAGGGATGAGGAGAGATATTGACCGTGTAGCTTCTGATGATTTCTGGGGAAGTGCATTATTTGAAAACCAATGTCTGCATCGGTTATTCAGACTATATAGCTAATTTTTTTTGTTTATTGATACTCTTTTTTTTTCTCTGATTCACTTTTGTTTTGTTATATCAGCTGATTGGAGTTTATTGCTTAGCTTCTAGAACGAGAAAATGGACGAGACAGACCTTAGGTATTTGGAAGATGAAGATAGCCCAGGCATGAAAACGATTAAAGGGGCAACCATGGGTTTAGCTGTCGGTACTATTTGGGGTACAATTGTTGCCTCATGGCATGATGTGCCTCGTGTAGAGAGAAGTGTTGCGCTCCCGGGGTTGATCAGGACCCTGAAGATGTGCGGTAACTATGGTCTCACCTTTGCTGCTGTTGGAGGAATCTACGTTGGTGTTGAGCAGTTGGTGCAGAAGCAGAGGATGAAGAGGGACTTTATTAATGGTGCGGTGGGTGGTTTCGTTGCTGGTGCATCAATTTATGGGTTCAAAGGTGATGTTTTTCTTCCATTCAAACTTTTAATATGAGTTTCATTTCTGATAGTGACATGGTTTTGTGCATTGATAGTTCAAAATTTGGGAACGTGATATTGTCAACAGGCCAAAAATTTGGACCTTGAACCCTTTCCAGATGCTTACATTGTTGACTTGTATTTAATACTGAGAACATTCGGTATTTTCAACTGGTTTTGATCGTTTAGTGAAGTTTAGAGAAATGTGAATCCTAACATATTGCTGTTCCCATGTGGCCTCATTAGTGAACTTTATGATTACTTTCAACGTTCTGATAAGTTCTTTCGCTATAGATGAAAGTGAGAAGAGAAGTGTGCATCATTCACAGAAGATAAGCTGCAAGTGCATTGAAGTAAGGAAATAGGGGAAGTTCTAGAATTTGGAGAGGGATATTTATTATGGTTTGGAGATGGGGTTTAGTCATGAGCTATAATCACGTATTTTAGAAACCTGAAGAGAGTGACAAGTTGTCTCTCTTTTTTCTTTTTTCTTTTTTTTTTTGGGTTGGGGGGTGGGGGGGAGGGGGGTGGGCGCGAGGGGGCGGGGGGGGAGGGTAGTTGGCGGGGTTGTTTAATAAAGGTGCCTTCAACTAAATTGCGAAGCAAATTAATCAGTCGTTTAAAATAATAGCTGAAATGACTCCAATTATGCTATATATTTTAAGTCTTTAGCAAAAATGTGAGCCAGCATTGTTCCATCAACTTAGAGATCATTTGACATAAATTTTCCCAGTTTTCTTTGTTGAACATATACAGAGGAGAGTTTTCTCTTTGTTGAACATGTACAGAAGGGAGTTTTCTTTCTTGAACATATACAGAGGAGAAACTATCTCCATACCTTAGTAGCATATAGTTGTCACCTTACTCAAAATGAACTTGCATTTTACTTACAACTCGCTAGTATTTACTTCAAAGAGGTCCATTAAGTTAGTTTGGGCACAAACTTATCATAAACCCAATCTCACAGGAAGGAGCATTTCCGGTGCCATTTCTGCTGGCTCCGCTCTAGCTTTCACTTCAGCCGTTTTGGACATTGGTGGTCGTACAACAAGAACTGATAACGGTAAAGAGTACTATCCTTACACCACCGGTAAAAAGCCTAACGCGAGTTGATTTTGCAACCACCACAGTAAATGAAGAGGGAGCTGCTTGCTAACGGTTGCGCCCCGTTTTAGCTTTTTGTATTTTCTTCTGTTTTCAGGACCAGAGGAAGGATAGAATCTCAAATAAAAATCATTTTGGCTTGGCATGTAATGATGGTAGTTTCTTACAAATTCATAGTATGAATGGGAGAGATGTATCTGCCTGTTTCCTAATAATTACCTGCAGTTCTTTTCTATTTGAGAAATTAAGTGGCATTCTCTTGAGTTTGTGGTGTATCCTGTGGCCTAATTAGAGCACCCATCCGAGCGTTCAGTATGCAACAAGTATACAGGATCAGGAGTAGCAACTTGAGTCTTACTTCGTGCAACTTTCATTCGCATAAAAAATGTAGGTGATATTGTGCTTAATTGCTGCGGCTCTCTATGAGATGAAGGATCTCCGAGTAACGAGAGTCAGAGAGCTTTGTTGCTGGTTGTTGATGATGCCAATTCAGTAAAATCTAACCTTATAACAAGGAATTTCCCAATGGTCCATCTTTCATTAATTTCATTTCATGACGGTGAAAGTGTCATCAGCCATAGAGGAGTCCCTACTAATGAAAATTTAAAATATTAGCTTCTTATTCTGGAAACACAACACCAGATAATAGAGAAAAATGTTGAACTTGCAAAGTTCAAATCTTTCTTTTGGACGTTTGATCAAGCAAACCTTTTGTTGAATCAGTCTCGGACATCTGACGGTAACAATTTTTTTGCGTGGAATACACAGTGACCCATAACGTAAATGTGCATATATTACCAGTCATGATCAGTCCGAAATAGGGGTGCTAAACCGTATACGTATCCGAGGAAATATCCGTAACCGTATCCGTTAGGATACGGATATGATTACTCAAATCTATAATCGAAAGGATATGATTACGGATATGGTTTTATAACGAAATATCTGTTATCCGTATCCGAAATATCCGAATACATATTAGTCGTACTCTTATGATAGTTTTGGTTCTTAGATTAAGGATTTGTGGTTAATCTTGATGATCAAGATGTCTAATCTTAACTTTTCAGTTATAATGAAGATATTAACGAACTCTTTTGTATAGACATCTTAACTTTTCAGTTATAATGAAGATATTAACGAACTCTTTTGTATCACATGAACTATATTTCTCATACTATTTTGTATCTGTATGCATATCCGCTTATATATCCACATGTATATCCGTAATCATATCCGATTTTAACGGATATGGTTATAATTTTTTCTTACCGAGGTATATCCGTATCTGGGATGGGTAAACGGATATGAATATGGTAAACATCATATCCGAGCCATGTCCGGACCGAATGCACCCCTAGGCCGAAAACAAACGTGGATACTTGTATTTGAACAGTAAAAGAAACATTTACACCAGCAACAAAAGCCAATTGAAATAAATTGGCTCATCCGCGAGAGAAAGATCTTCAAGTGTTCCATGCATGTACACACTACAAAGAAAATATACATACCGGACAAAAATAGTTGAAATGGGACATTTTAACATATGCTTCACACGGACTAATACATCACAAGAAGAAATTCTGCATTTCAGGAGAATTTAAGTTAAGACTTGCTTTTTTTTTAATTATTGTGAACAAGAAATGAGAATGTTCGTCAGTGCAGCTATCTGCACCTTCACATATATAGGACTACACTCTACTGAAACAAATACATCCACCTTCAAATTCTCAGATGAATGCTCTCCCTGTAGCCAATAACAAAAAATTACGCTCAACAATGGGGGAGTTAAAGGGAAGGAGGGGATTACAATAAAATCTGCACCCAGATCGATGTCCATTACTTGTACAACACAGATAGTTCACCGAAGACTGAAGTGAACGCAAAAGATGTAATGCTTGTGGAAAAGAGTTGCAGACGGTGCTAACTTTACAAAAAGCTTTCTTTTCATGGAAAGGTTTAAGCCTCAACAGGACCACATCGGATCAAATCATTGTAGACAGTAAAGCTGGCGGATGTTCCCAGTAGCTGCCATATAATACATATAAACCAGGAAAACAGTTAGTCTTCTATGTTCTAAGTGTAAAGATTTACCTTAATTACAGTATATGGACATGTTATCATTCCATCTATAAAATCAAGCGGAAAAAAGCAATCAATTCAACATAATTCGGATAGGAATTGGATAAAGGTTTTATCATGTATTCGTATCCAGAGTCATTTAGCAAATACAAATAATCTAGTCATTTCATGAAATCTACTCATTCAGTTTTAACCTGTGGTAAATCTCCTAATAAATTATGTATTACAACTTTTAAAGATTATCAACAGAATGTTCATAAAGAATTTTTACGGCTAGATCTCTGTGTGAATGGCACACACATAGTCATAGTTTTCTCTAGAAAGAAAATTTACTTAATTGACATACTAATCAACAAGTTGGTGGTTTTCTATACAAAACTACATTTTGTTCCCATAGGTGTTGGGATGTTATACGATGCATTCATCCCTTATAATCAAATATAAGAACAAGGTGCTTGATCTTTAAGGTTGGCAGATTATTATCTTTCATTATAGCCAGTAAGCATACAGCAAGCGTGAAGGGATACCCTTACAATAGAAATGAGAGGAAAGCACCCCATTTAGGTGGAGGCACGATCAGATAAAGGGAAGAGGAAGCATCTTAATAGTCTTATTATTAAGAAATCATATACACTTCACTTAAATTAAAAGAAGCCTCAATGAATCACCAATCACATCCACTCGTTGCAAAAGATGCGCTGATTCATGAGCCTGCACATATCCTGAAGAGATTTTAATCCGTTAACTGGGGTTGAGTTTAGACTGTCTGTTTGAACCGACATCTGAGTCAAACGGTTTGCTTTTAAATGAATTTCTTTCTAAATCTCAGCTCCATCCTGAGCATCACTTTGCTCTTTTTGTCTTCTTTTATTGCAGAAACATCACTAGATAGACGTTAAATGTGAAAGCAAGGAGTGCTTAACAAAGCGGACAAACTGTATATGGAATTGAATATCTCAGGCATGTGCATCTCAGGGTGTGTTCAAAAAGTAAAGAAATAACTCGGCTTAGGTGTAATAAAATTCATCATAAGGAAGTTTTTTTGTAAATCTAGATCGCAAAGCACAAAATAAAAGAGTGAAGAAAAAGGTTGTAAAAGGAAATGGCCTTTACCATACAACCAATCTTTGAAATGTACATGAAGAGCAGATGACACTTCCTGTTTCTTGTTCTCCTCAAGTTGTGCATTTCTAATGACTTGTTGGATGTCACACAAGACTGAGTGCTGAAGGGGGGAAAAAGACATTGCGTGTCATATATCGAAGTGACTGAAACAAAGGTATATCCATAAAAAATACTAAATCACAGAAAGGGATTGCAAGAACATGATGGCCGGAAAAAATGCACATTGAGTAGAATATTTGAATCTAAGCATTCACAGTATATATAAACTGAAGCTTTAATCTCGCAATAGCACTATCACATGCATTTCTATGGAATGAAGGATTAAACTTACCGTTTTCTTCTGGGATTCAATATAACTCTCAGGCAAGGGAAATGGGTTATCTTTGGTAGGCTTTGTTGATTCAGCACCAAAAAGTTTTGGAATCTGCATATGTACATAAAAGATGGTAAAACATTACAAATTTAGGGTAAAACATTACAAATTTAGGGTACCTAGTGCAGCAAACACAGAAAGCAACGGAACCAAACATCAACATATGATGAAGAAAATGCTAACTAACAACAAAAGGCGAGCACGTCAAATGTGAAAATCATTGTAGGTAGGGAGTGACAGCAATTGCAGGTGAAGGATATGAGAGAGATGACTTTCTTAAGCTGGGAACAATAAAATGAAGTTGTAGCATACCACAAAGTTTGTGAACTGGTCTGGGTCAAGACAAGTAGCAGACTCAGCTTGAACATCAGAGACCCCAGCAGGATGAGAGAGTGAATCATGGGGATCAACCATTCCTAGTGCACGGGGCTCAGCCCATCTGTTAACAGTTGCATTGATGCCAACTTGAGCCATGTGCTCCTCCAGCTGTGGATAAAATGTATTGTATGGGGCTACCTATTGGACAAGAACACAGAGAAAATAAACTCAAACTCTTGATGGACAACATAGAGGCATGATAACAAATATTTTTATGCAGCTTAAAGAAAAGTGGCAAAAAGTTTGTTTTATGGGTAATCAGTAGTTGCTCCGGCAAGGGAACTCTACCAGAATTCTCTCCCTACAATCTATAGTCTATATAATACAACATAAGCCATTATAAACAGATTAAAAGATTAGTGCAGCTTGAGAAACTGCACATCAAGGACTCCAACATATTACCCAAAAAACAAACTATGACAGGCCATATGACTATCATGTTACAGTATGTAGGCGTTTCTCACAATTATATAGCTGATGTGTGAGCTAACTTAAAAGTCAGGACATTTTTAGAGAACGAGAGGATTCTAGGATCACACACGAACAAACCATATAAGCTCAAAGAAATAATGAGGTCTAAAATATGGAAATTCACAATAAAAGTGGTATATCTATCTTTGTCTAACACGCCACACATGATAACAAGTGTCACAATTTATTTCAAAGTTATCAATGTGTTTTTATGAAGAATATCCAAGAATAAGTTTACAGGGTATCTTTTAGCAAAAATTATTATAGATGAATTTCTCTCTTATTATGCTTTAAAGTTCTTCATATGTCAATAAAACATGTAATGTCAATAAAACATGTAATGTCAAATAAACATTATTCACAAATATGCATATTTCATGTACACAGCCAATGGTCCTCTACATAAGTTTCAGACTTCCAGCGAACACCCATGGCTGTCAGACTATGACACCAGTCCTTGTGTGTTCACTGTTCATAAATCACAGATATGCAGGAAGATGATCCTCTTCATAAACGTGTTCAAATTGCACATTTGCTATAAATAATGTAAATAGATACTCTAAAGTATCACAGTAAAATTGACTTGGAAAGGATGCTACACTTAAATATGGCTTAAATATGCAGATTGGACAAATAAATAAATAGATAAAATTTAAGGGAGCTACATTCCTAGATGATCAGCAGTACACACCCAAGGACTTCAAATTACAAAGCCAACCCATTCCTCGGAAAAAAGATGTAAACACACACAACCTCCAAAAAAGGGTAAAAATAAAGCAGAAAAAGACCCAATTATTACATAGAAAAGGGATTTCAATCTCCAATTAACATAAATGTAAATACAAATTGCTTCTCACTTTCTAAGGATATTGGTCTACAGTCAACCTAATTTGACATTAACAAGTTTGAAGCTACCTCCATAAAAATATGGACCCACCCGTTATAAACTTGTAGGTCCCTTTAGAGTATGTCCAAGCCTTGCAAAGTTCCCCAAACCAGACCCGCATGTCAGGGACTAAGATCAAACTAGGGCCTAGGCTAATTGGTAGGAACCAGAATTCTATAAAAAAAAAACTTCTGCCACGGCTATAGTGCATTAAATACAACAATATACAACCCTACAGATTTTCCAGTGGAAACCCCCACTTAAACTGGTGCTTCGAAAGGAAACAGGCAAATTGTAGAAGTATTAACTCACCTGTAATTTATGATTATCTCCAATAATAAGTGGCTGCTGATTAACACCTAAGAAAAATAGGCAATCACGACAATTTGCAATGCATATTCGCTTTGTAGCTGTTATGACTTGAACCCTTTCACAATGCTCCACTCTTACAACCTGAAAACAAAACACAGTTACAACTATACATATACTTAATAGGAAGCACATCCGACATGCCTTAACTGAATGCTTCTGTGGTGGTCAAAAATCAAGACCACAAAGAAAACAAGAAATTTGCCTACTACTAAAGGAAAGTCAGAAAGTACAGCCCCTGACTGAAGAGAAAAGGAAAACAAACACCATACAAGCATCAGTTGTCAGATTTTACGAAACCATCTATTTGCAACAGAATACTGTATCATACTGATAGGCGAATTTGAGAGGTTAGCATTCTGTAAGTCAGTCTTACAAGCATGGTGAACTAGCAGCAGCAGCAACAACAACAACAACAAAGCCCCTATCCCAAGTGTTTGGGGTCAGCTACATGAATCATATTCTTCCATTCCGTTCTATTATGAGTCATCTCCTCCGTTAAGCTAACCATAACCATATCCTTCTTAATTACTTCCAACCAAGTCCTTCTAGGTCTACCTCTAGATCTCTTTGCTCCATTAACTATAATATTATCACTTCTCCTATCCGGTGCACTAAGAGGTCTACATTGTACATGGCCATACTACCTTAATCGATTCTTCTCAATTTATCCAAGCATGGTGAACTAGCAGAACCCTAATTTTTTGCGCAAAGAATTGTTTCAGAATGGTTACCCAAAGTGAACTATTACAAATATTTGGTGATTTAATAAAATTGTATTTCTGTCTTTTAATATACATCATTGTATATAGAGACAAAAGAGTATTTTAAACACATCCAAAGATAGAAGAGAAATAAATCCTGAGGTGACAAAAGGAAAGAAGATCATCAGCTCTGCATAAACTTTTACCAGTGAAAACTATGATATGGCTATCAATTAGAACAGAAAAAAAAATCCAACAGGCAAGCATAGGTGCATTAGCATCATAACTCGAGATTGTCACTGGACAGGAGCCAAAATAAAAAATATGTCATCTAAAGTGTTACATGCTCTTTAAGACAAGCAACAATAGCCACAAGATTTTATTCACTCTTCAAATTGCATACCTGCTGTGTTGTCCTCGTCACAGTAAGACTCCCACTAAGTGGGCGATTCTTGTCCTACTAGTGTCAATAAATTTAGATCTCAGGTTTGATCTTCTTAAAATGTTCGTCTGCTTTCATTAGTTGATGTCCTGTATTTGCTGCTCTACAGGGAATGCATCTAGTCCAAAATGCAGAGCACTCAACACTAAAAAGCATCTTGTTCCACGTAATAAATCTGTCTTAATGATCAATTTAGCATCAAAATTCCAATTAGAGCACTCCTGGACGACGATGTGACAATCATATGCCTTCAGAAAATGTATCTTCATTCATTGAACTGGTTTAATTGTATTTGTTACATCCCATTTTCAGTTCCATAATTCAGATACTACCAGCATATGCTGCCGAATTAGCTTCTATTTTAACCTGTACCTTTCTACATAACAGCCAAATAAGAACTTATTCCATCCCTTAGTCAAGATAATAAAGGGTAGTTTTCTTACCTTTTTTGAGGAAAGGTAGTCAGACTCCTTGAGAGTAAGAGAATACATAGTAAGATAAAAAAAAGTAAGAAAAATGAAGCTTTAAAGCCACTGAAAAGACCAAACAATCTCCACTTAAGAACTTTAATTTCTCACAATCATTTATGTCAACTTTTCATTGCTTGTTGATACGATCATAATGCACCATACCCCTAACAGATGTGCTCCTTTCTCTATGACGTGATATGAAACTTTCAACAGGTCAATCAATTAAATACGGTAAAAAAAATATGAACAGTTGTAAGCAAAAGAAAAAAATAGTTCCCAAAGTGTATGTCAAATTGTTCAAATAAAATATTGGATATTGTTCTCAAGAACAATTATTGAAATAAGCAGAGAACCCTACATACCTTACCAACAGCACCAAGAACAATTGTTGATTCAGAACATCCGTAAACAGTAGCATATTTCAAAGGAGCTAGTATGTAGATTACTGAGTCCTGGCAATTTAAAACCTGCAAGTAAGCAAGAAAATGTAATCACAAACCTTAATAAGCTTTGCGGCTTAAGTAGCATGTACGTCAATGACATCAATCTCCCAAAAGAAATTCTGATTAGATCAATCAATTGTATTGGAAAAGGGGATGGATAACAATGAAACTCCAAGGGTAAACAATACTTGAACAATTGAGTCTATGACTCCATGCTTGGTAAATAGTCTGTCTATTATTGCTATGAAATAGTTAATCCAATGAAACTTCAACTCTACCAAACTAATTGAAATAAAGTATTGGAAATAATTCATGTAACTTTTTTCCATTGACTGTATTTTGTCAACATATCTTACAGGTACAGATATGTCGAATAGCTGTAATTGATGATTGCTGCAGCCGTATGTGGAAAAGCTGTTGTTGGTTTAAATTTGGAATAAGATTCATAAACAAATCACCACATGTAAGAGAAGATTGCCATCCACATTGACATTTAACTGAATTGCTTTTGACAAAAAAATTTATACAAAGTTCAGTTTTGAAAAGCCTTTGGTTCTAAGAGCCAGTTAGCGGTTAACACCTAGACCTGCCTAGGTGGCTGCCTAACTGAAGTGTCATGAGTGCCAAACACTCAAGCTGACACATAGGCATCCACATAGGCGGTTTTCACAACACTAATTAGGTTCCTGTATATAACCATTTTAGTGGTGTTACAAGGACGCTGATAAATCTCATGAAGGAAAAAAGGTCATCTCTATGACCAAAAAAAAAAGGAAAATAGTTATGCAAAAATAAAGGAAATATTAAGAACAAAAAGTACCAAAGATATTATGCTTTATTCACTTCCGTGTCATCTAAATCTGTGCCTTTTTTTATTCTGTTACTGTGTCATACAATGTACAAGTAGATAAAAAGTATAGTAGTTGTTGTCTAGTAACTATGGGAACAATAATATACACTCACTATTTAGCATCATTTGACAAAGCTTAAATTAATTTCTGACAACTATCAATTCAAGGCATTTAATCTGCAATAACTGATACAATTACTACTATAACGGTTAAAAGAGTTTTAGGAATCATTGAGGATTCTGCAATTGAATTGCTGAAATGAAACTGTGCACATGGTTAGGGGGTGTTTGTTTCACCAAAAATTTTGGCATTTGGTATGGATTACAAGTTTTGGGATCAAAAAGTGAGTTTTTTTGTATTTTGGGATTCCATATATGTTGTTTGTTTTAAAAAAAATTAGAATATTGAATCCCAAAAGTGCAAAAAGTGCTCAATTTTTAGAATTTGCCAAATCCTCTCAATTGGAGAGGATTTTGACAAATCCCATAAATGGGTGTGCTTACCTGTCAATTGGAGAGGATTTAACAAATCTCAATTTTGTCTTTTGAGTTTTTGTGGGAGGTAACCTCACCAAGATAGCATATTCATCATATTATAAAATTTTGGCATTTGGTAATGCTACAATTTGAGCTTGAAACAAACAAAATATTACAAATTATAGTATTCCAAATTCCAAAATATTAATGAAACAAACAACATTTTAGAAATCCCAACCCATAACAAAACACCTATGGATTTCAAATCTCATGGTGAAATCCATATCCTAAAATTATAGGATTTGAAACAAACACCCCCTTAGAGAATTTCCTCGGCACAAGTTACCGTCCCCCTCCTCTAACTTTGGCTGGACATTTTGTTATTTTCAATGTCTCCTAAAGTACACATCTGAAAAAGAGCTATCAAAATGGCTTTTTCAGTAACAGAAATTCTCTTTTTCCCTACTTCTCTTTAAGCTAGGAAGTATGTAGTCAATGGTATCGCATTTGAAGGCTAGCATTTGGTATGGATTACAAGTTTTGGGATCAAAAAGTGAGTTTTTTTGTATTTTGGGATTCCATATATGTTGTTTGTTTTAAAAAAAATTAGAATATTGAATCCCAAAAGTGCAAAAAGTACCTAATTTTTAGAATTTACCAAATCCTCTCAATTGGAGAGGATTTTGACAAATCCCATAAATGGGTGTGCTTACCTGTCAATTGGAGAGGATTTAACAAATCTCAATTTTGTCTTTTGAGTTTTTGTGGGAGGTAACCTCACCAAGATAGCATATTCATCATATTATAAAATTTTGGCATTTGGTAATGCTACAATTTGAGCTTGAAACAAACAAAATATTACAAATTATAGTATTCCAAATTCCAAAATATTAATGAAACAAACAACATTTTAGAAATCCCAACCCATAACAAAACACCTATGGATTTCAAATCTCATGGTGAAATCCATATCCTAAAATTATAGGATTTGAAACAAACACCCCCTTAGAGAATTTCCTCGGCACAAGTTACCGTCCCCCTCCTCTAACTTTGGCTGGACATTTTGTTATTTTCAATGTCTCCTAAAGTACACATCTGAAAAAGAGCTATCAAAATGGCTTTTTCAGTAACAGAAATTCTCTTTTTCCCTACTTCTCTTTAAGCTAGGAAGTATGTAGTCAATGGTATCGCATTTGAAGGCTAGAAAAGGTTACAAGAGGCAAGTACCAATTTCTAGAGAACTGATTCCTGACTTAATCCAACTCCTCAGTAACTTGTTGCTTCCAACTTTGGAGAACTTCATGGGAATGGACGAGCCTCCCACAAAGACGGTGGCATGCAACTTGATCATGTATCAACATCAACCACACTGGTTTAACCAAGAAGACACTTTAACTCTTCATGGAACCATGAGTCACTATTCCAAAAGGGCCATAATCTGGAGATTTTAGTATAGGGTACTTTTGTCCGCCTATAGCTGTGGTGCAATGTAACAAAAGAAATGTATGCAGTTTTTCTTGCTTTGACACAGTTTTCTTGTTTGATACAATGATACAACATAATTGAAGTTGTGATGGGGCCAGATACCAGATGATAGGCTAACTAATATAGTGTCCTTTTATTTAGAAAAGACTTAACGAGTATTGGCTCATTGATGATGTGGGGACAAACACCTTGCAGCTCAATTTGCTGCAACATTTCCTGCAGCCAGTTTGACTGCAGCTGTTGTTAATAGCAATCAAACTGCAATGCCTCTATTTGCAGTTGAATGAACCTAGAAGGCTAAGCAACTATAAACATAGATCTGGATGTCCAGTTGTAGCGAAATAGACACACATATTGCCTAAAACCAATGACACAAAGACACAGATGACTCTCCATAAGTACATAAATAAAATAATGAGACATATAGGTTTCATCAACTATCAATGACTTTACAAGAAACTAAAGAAATTTACAAAACTGTAAATCATCGAATAGCATGCTAATGCTTCGATACTTTAGGTTAAACAATGAGACTTCATATAGTTATATGGTAGTTCTTAAAATCTAAAGCATCTTCTCCAAAACAATACAAAACAAATAAAAAGGAAAATATAACTTATAACAATCAATTTCTAAGACAGAATTCGACCATTCTTTTTGCAATGTGGCTACATAGACTATGAAATCAGTCGCTATTTAAATTACATACTGGCTTTGATGCTGCATCCCTATATTACTGAAAGCTACTGGCATCTTCAGACAGTTACCATCGCTTAGGAATTGGTTACAGTGAGCTGTCCAAATTCTTTTAAAGCTCTAAGTTGGCGTTTGAATTGTGGAAAAAATATAGACTACCAAAATAAGGGCAGAATAATCCTCACCTTTACAGAATGCCCCTTGATATCACTAGACTGCTTGACGACGGAAGTTTTGGAGATACCCTCTACAAATGTCTGACTTCTGGAAAATGCAGTGCTGTTAGCCTTGGAGGCATCAGCCGTGGCCATATCCAGATCTAATGTGTTGGTCGAGCCATTCTCTTTAGTTGGCGTATTCTCTAATACTTTCTCCAATGAAGTCGCTATATTTTGCAAAACCCAGTCAAGAACTTGGGCAGCAGACGCAGGAACAGCAAGCATGTCCGGATCTGAATTTACAAAGAAAGGAACTGCCTTGCTAGATGGTACTACTTCACAACCATTTTCAACAAACTGAACAAGTAAATCAAGGTGCTGAAACCTCTCTCCTGTTATAACCTGCAACAAACAAACAAATAGGCATGTAAAGGCACCACCATGACTAAACATTTAACTGAGTAAATGCACATAACTCTCCAGCATTACAAGTAGAAACTGCTTTCTGAAATTGAAACGGTGAGCTGCAGTGGTCTAGCAGATGGTAGCATGAATTTTTTTTAATTAAAAAAGCAATACTGACTTCAATATCAATTTATTATTATATGCAAGAGCAAACAACATACACCAATGTAAAAGTATGAGAGCAATCAATAACATGTTACACAATCCCTTGTATCGATGCCAACTGAATATTGGTATTGTTCAATTATGACAGGAAGTAATGCCAATTGTCACATGAAGTGGCAGCCTCGTATGAGCAAACTGCTGCTACACATGATACTGTGGAAATGACTTGCATTAGGCTTTAAGCCTTAAACAACTTCACCTGAATGGATTCGGATTCTCTTACTTTCATTACTTACTTTAGGCCTATCTGAAGGACGATCTCTATTTCACCGACTGCTATAGCCCAGTAGCTTTGAGCCCATGTGTTGTTGAAATTCATTTGTTACTATGGACAGGTATAACCTTAACCTTGAACAAAATAACCTCAATTACAGATAGTATGTTTCTAAAGTTCCACTCATGGGAAAGAACATTTATATAATGCATCCATCTTTGAGATTCACAAAGTTCCTATCTAGATCAGGAGCACATTTAACCATTAAACTTGAATGACATATTTACAGCTTTTATTTAATTCCTACCAGTATGCATTTTTAGTAAGTTACAGAAAGCAAGGTTTTCCTCTGAGATTCAAAAATTAAAAGACAAAGAACAATTTTGAAAAATGTTTTTTTAATTCTAATAACCAACCAACATTTTCTATTACGAAAATAAACAACCTTGGTCAGTGCTGTAATATGTGGCCAAAATTGACGTTCTTCTTTTTCACAATTTTCAGTTGAGATATTTAACCCAAGGTTGACAACACTGGATTCATTAGCAAGTAACTACAACAACTACAGACCTTATGAATTGAACAAGGACCTATGATATTGCATTGTATTGTTTTAATGTTTTGCAAGAAACCATGCCTTCATCGCTAACATGGTCCAAGTCCTCATCAAACTTGACTTCCACATCAAAGGTCCCATGGCTCCTCTGGTGGGCCTACCGCATGGACGTCTTCCACACGACCAACCACCTCAGCCACAAGCTTTTATATAGAGCAGTCCGTCTAAATAGCAAACATAATTTCCTGTAGCAGCTTCAACAACAGGATGTATTTATCATGAATGTGATCCCCCCTATACAGCCGAACATGATGCCCCCTATACAGCTGAACATGATGCAGTAATGCCTTTCTGGCACAAGACTGGTTAGTTACTACAGAGTAAAAAGTTGTTTTGGATACCATTCTGGACTTTCAATATACAATCATTTTTGTAACAGATCACAAGGATGGGATTGATTTCCAAAATGTTAAAGGCAAAGCTCTTATGGGACAAGACTAATTGATATATTCTAAATCCTTCACAACACTTGGACATGGACTGGAAACGTCAGTCAAAAAATTTAAGCTGAAACTTGAAGGCAGGTGTTCCAAACCCTCCAATATCTCCACCCATCTCCTGCTAAGCTCTTAATAAACCCACACTTTATCATCCTGGGTTCCCTGCTAAGCTCTTAATAAACCCACACTTTATCATCCTGGGTTCATCCTGGGTTCCCATTAAACACTTCAAAATAATAAACTGTTCAAACTTAGACAAGGTCACTAACATGGACAGACCTAGGACGTTTCTATAAATAAAAAAATAACAGTTTTTAACTAAATGTTGAAGTTAAAACTTCTAAAAGAAATTGCCCAAAAAAATTCAGAAGTGACAACCCGCGCTACCAAAAATTTTGACCTAGGACGTTTCTATAAATAAATAAATAATAGTTTTTAACTAAATGTTGAACTTAAAACTTTTAAAAGAAATTGCCCAAATTTTTTGAATTTCAAAAGGCGCAAAAAATTCAGAAGTGACAACCCACGCTACCAAAAAATTTGAATTTCCAAAGGCGTGAAAAATAAGAAAAACAGCTTTTGTAACTAAATATTAGAAATATATTTTCTTAAAATATTGCTCCAAAGAAAATTTTCAAAACACAACCAATGTGGTCTTTCAAATGCTTCATAGTCAGCGTATATTAGTTGGTAGCTACAAATTTTAAGCTCTGGACAATTATACTACACTACTGCATTATCACACTATAATACAGCCAATATTATGCTTTAGTAAACCTGCATACATCAACAAATTTGTTCTTGAGTTTTCAAAATAAAAAGTTTAACAATTAACCAAAGCATTCTGAATAGTAGAAAGACAAAGATTTGAAAAATATCAAAACAAAAATTATGCCTAAGAAATGAACTAGATTGTGCGATAGATTGTATACAATATTAAAGGCATATTCAGTAAGAAAATATAATATAACCAACCAGAGATTCATCATCTCCATCAACAGGATCTGCCAACAGAGTGAGTATGTTTGCCATATGCTTCTGTAGGAATGATAACTGGTGGGCCTCATCATCAGATTGTGATGGCATAAATCGACGGCTGTTACTGCGTACAAGCTGCAAGCAGAAAAGATTGCCTTTAATTGCATTAACTGAACCGAAAATATTATTTCACTGCATACATGCTGAATTCACAAAATATTGTCTTCAGTGTGCAGTAGCCAGAAATTTTCACCGTACTATCTATCCTTGGTCAAAAAGTACAAGATAATACTTCAGCAAAAGATGTATGAAAGTCAATAAATTTTGATCACCAACAAAGTCAGTCATCTATGGTGATAACAATTGCTACATATAGCCAACCAGTTTAGGCATGATGAGTTAAATTTCAATGCCTTATTTTCCAAATTTTCATGACATAGAAGTGCACTCCGTGATTGGCACGTAACATATACAAAGGTTCCTCACAAGATATTAAAAGAATACAGAGGAATAGATCATACAGATAATCAGGTATATCTTAGAAAACTTCTGATTAACTCATAAAATTTTGGCTTCCAAGTTAAAAGACAATATCCATATAAAGTAATAGTTAAAACCTCGCAAAACACATATGTGACAAGACAACTTCAAAAAACCTTGCAACTAAAATAGGAACTTCTTTTCACATTCAGAATTTTCATGAGAACAAGACATCCTGCTAAACATATTTTATTCCCAATTATTCAATTGCAATCAAATTAACTTCCGTTGATTCTTCTATTGTAATTCACAGCTAAATACCATTTCTACATCATTAAATCTATGTAGAAATTAACCAAATGTGCAAATTCAATTAGTTTCCTTTCTCTAAGAGGATTCCAGAAGGAATTGTGTTTCTACCTTGTCCAAAATAGAAGGCATTTTAATATAAAGGGTAGTAGTAAAATTAATTGAGAAACTATGAGAAATACACTTTAATAGAAAATTCTTTTAGCATGAACTTTTCTTCAATGAAGACTACAAAACAGTATAGTTGTCCATAATTCCATTCAAAATTAAACATTGTTTCCATATAATGATATTCTGTAAAATCCATCTAAGAAGATAGTAATCCAATTGACTAAAGTTCTAAATCCATATACCCGGAGGATTTCCCAATAGGGTATACATTAATTAAAAACCGCTGCACGTAGCATTCCTGATGCACTCACTATTAGAAGCTCAAATAAAATACTTTGTACGTTAATTAGATTTAATCAACAACTAAACCATTGCAACTAAAACGCAGTTCTTCAGCAGAGTCACCTAGAAATATGTATCAACATATAGTTTAATGGGAGTTATATCACAGTTCCTGTGAACTAAACAACTAATGTAAATAAAATTATTTATAGAGGTAATATGACTAATACTCCGCAGTGAAACACGCATGGGAAAGACTAGCACTAGAACTAGTGACCTCCCACTCTCACTCGAAGTGTTACAAGTTGTATCAGATCAAGACAAAGTGCCAGCCAAAAGTGTGGTGGACATAAGTGCCATGGAAATCTAAATAACAGCTTAAGGTAAACGTCATGTGACAGGATGCAGCTGGGGAACTTCTACAATCTATGGACCCATCCTTATGTCCCACATTGCATGTTAGTTAACATCTGTATATGCTTGTGGTACATGATAGAATTCAGATTATAAACGGGCAGTTATGTCATACCAAAGTGAAAGTGAATATTATGACACTCGAGAGGTAGAGAACTATTGGTATATAACAATTCTAATCAAGCACCCTAGGCGGACGCCTAGGCGTAGGCAGACACATGCCCGCCTAATTCTAGCCAGAGCGGCCTGCCTAGGCGGCTGCTCCTCCTAGGCGCCGCCTAGCTTTTAAAACATGAAAAAAAAAAGATAAAACCCCTTACTCGGCCCATTACCCAAACCTGAACCCATGTTCATAACCCAAATCCAAACCCATTAGACGTAACACATAGATCTTCGACCTTTCTACACCCAAGTCCCACTCCCACACACAGCCGCTTCAAACTCTCGACTCTCTTCTCTTCCAGCTCCTGTCACACCCCACCCTCCCTCCGCCGCCACGATGCAGCCTCCCAACCCGCGCACTGACTGCTGCAAACCCCAGGACGCCCGCGCAGCCGTGTCAGCTCCCAACAATCGCTAGCCGCTCCTACTCCCCGGAGCCTATCTTGCTGCCGCTGGTCCTCCTCACAAGTAAAATTTTTATTTTTTTTTATTTTTAAACTATGTTTTAACTTATTTACTGTTTTAGCACCTATAACTGCTTTTAAACTTTAAATAGTTACTTTTGTTCAGTTTAGTTTAATTTAGTTAATTTTACTTTAATCTTGTTCAAATTTAGTTAATTTTAGTATTCATGCATGGTGATGTTTCTCAGTATTCGGTTACCAATTTGGCTATTTAGTATTTATGCATGGTTGATTATGGATCTAAGCTTGTTATTTATATTTTTTGTGATTTTATATAAACCTAATACATATTTTTTGAATTGTTATAATTAAATAAATTTAAAAAAATAGGCAAACGCCTAGGCGCTCGGCCCTAGCTCGAACGCCTAGGCCGTCTACCGCCTTCTGTAATATTAGTTCCAATGAACTTACACATTAATGGTAGACACCATTTTTTGACTGAATCTAGGGAAGAAAAAGTAGATAAGTGAAGTCTGCCACGAATAGTAAAGAATGTGGATGGTGTCCAATAAAGTCCTTGCTTGATGGTTACAATCCGACAAACATGAATAGTATAGAATGTGGATGGTGTCCAATAAAGTCCTTGCTTGAGGGTTACAATCCGACAAACAGAGCATTCCTTTACAAGAAAGGAAATGTCTTGATATATCAAGTCAACTCATGAAATTGCTACACAAAATACAATTTAAAGTCAATTCCCTGCAGTAGCCACGTGTGGTATCATAGATCCTTCCGCAAAATTCATCCCAAATCATACTATTGCAAATATACAAAGCACATGGGTTCTCATGGACATTCACATATATCATAAACAACATATCAATTAAAGGCCTTTTTGGCAAATTAGTGCAGTTCTATTCATATTATAATGTTTTTCTTCAATAGTGATCCTGAAGACATTACTCTTGCTTCATCATTTCAAGCAAAACTACCCTCCTAAGAAATTATCTTAAGAATAATAGAATTGTAGCTGAAGTTATGTTCTATTCATCTCTTGGAGTTTCCGAGAGGACTTATAAATTGATCTTTATCTAATATTTAAAGATGAGACACTAATTGAGAACCATTTGATAAAAATTCACCTGGAAAAGAATTTATATCAAATTTAATTCAATCAAAAACTTCTTGCAAAAAAAGATAAAGTATTTTTACAACACCAGTTAGCCGAACTGTATCTTCAAAGTTGAAATGCAAGCATTTTGTTCGAAAATGACATTTCTATTTAAGCAAGAGCAACAACCAAAAGATACTTTTGCTGACGGGATTCCTCAAACCAATTATTTTCTTCAAGATATTTGGAATAACTAATATATATTCACTTGACTAACAAAATCTTTTCTAAAAGAAGCATCAATCCAAAACAATAATGAAACTTTTGTTCCAAATATTCTGAGTCTAGTACAATAATCACATTATACATCGCCATAGAAAGGCATTGGTTGTTGAACTAATAGCTGCCATATCCCTTCTATTATCTCAATCCATACTCATCTAGGTCAAACCGTTGCAGTACCATCAACAACTATCCTATCATTTGTCTTAAACAGTATGCTCATCACAATTCTTCCTAATAGTACAAAAACATTTCTTATCATATCTATCGGTGCCCATAATAGTTCATGTAATCATGTAAAAGAGAAAAAGGGTGAGATTTAAAAACAACTAAATCAACTTATGATCCTAGCAGACTTCTAATGGTCATTCCTGTCTAACAAAACTTCCCCCAATCAGTTTGTCATCTGTCATACCACAATCTTGTTATGCCTGAATCATCTTCCACATTCAAAATAAATAAGAAGTGTCATGCACATACAAAAGCATTCAATCCAACTACAAACGGATTCCATATAACAGCGGTGGTCCTAGAATGAAGCCCCTTCTAACCAAAGTATTAATCTATTGTTGTAGATCAATGTTTGAGAAAGCTCTAGGCACTGGAGCAATAGGTGGTTGCTTAAGCGGCATGTAGGCGTTTTTTGCATCAAGAGGGAAGGCTTCTTTTCAAAGAATCAAAATATTATCCCCATCATTTACCCAAAATGGACTTGGATACAGGATTCTGATGCGATCCATTTTCACTTGGCTCATTTTCATTTGTTACAATGCCAAAGCGCGCAAGAAGCACCTTTTTGATGTGGTGCAGTCTGCATAACCGACCCATGCTCCCAGGCACTCCCCAGACATAGGCGGGTGGCGTAAGTGTCGTTTAGGCTTAGGCCGGCGCCTAGACCACTTTTTAAAACAATGTTGAAAATAGACCCCCTGAATGAATTTTTGTGACTGTTATACCCTCACCTAAGTTGCATTGAAACGGGCACAGGTACTGGTACGGGTGCGGATACGGGTAGGGGACACGGCAAAACTGTAAAAATGTTGGGTACGGGGACACGACTACATATATATATTGAATTAATAATGTATTAATAATGTACATGAGATAATTTTTTCCCGCTTCATGTGTCATTAGAATTAAAATTTCGATCACATTTTTGAGTTTATTTTATCATATTGATTATCATGAATTGTAAACTACTCATTTTTTACTAGACATCTAAACGACCCATTAACTATATAGTTTTGAACTTGGGTATGGACTGAAACGAACCCGACCCGTATCCCATTAGTTTCAAAAGACGGATGTGAAGTGTAAGCTCTAAGTCCAGGAAGTCTTTGACAAGTATTTTAAATTAACACATATATCGTATAATTGAGTATATGTTGTAATAAATGCATGCATATATTCAAGAAGTGTCCACGAAGTTTGGGTACGAGAAAGTGTCGGGTATGTGTCCGGTACGGGTACGGCTTCAATAATGAAGTACCCAGGTAACATAGACCCTCACAGATAGAGAAAATTTGTTTTTAGACAAATATACCTCTTGAGGGCAAAAGAGTCAAAAAAATCACTAAGAGGGCCTATCCATAATTAACCCTGTAAAATGACAATCCAAACATAAAGCCAACTAACGATCCTAGGAAGCATGCAGTAAGTCTCCAGTCAATTAATTTCAACTCTCTATCAATCTGCAGTTGTCATCAGTTGCAGGAATGTGACATGGGTTGATCATTGCTAACCTCTCTCCATCGGAAAAATTTATTATCCATGTCTTTCTACCTTTCTTGGTATTAATAATACCTAGCTCATTTATTGTTGAGATGATTTATCTTGGAAATAGCTACCCATAGACATAGATAATTGATTCTTTTTTCAGGTTTTTAATAAGTATTGTCTTGGCGGATGTTCATTTTGGATAGGTATTTGTCAAACCATAATATTTCCACTGTGCGCATGCAACAATATTGTAACACTAGCGCAGCAACGCCCGTGTATCGCATGGCTAACAACTAGTTCCAAATAACAAACATTCCTTTGAGAACAAATTAAACTCATTCACTAGCATGAACACTGGGGGACAAATATCGCATTTTTCTTCAAATTTGAAACAAATTATAAGCATTCAATCCAAACTCAACCACATTCCCAATAAAAGCAAATATCCTAACCTGTAACGGCGACAACGCCGACAAGCACCCGTCAAACGCCGACATCGACGTAGCAACAGTCGACGCATCCTTATGCGGCCTGGTAACAAGCCTCTTATAGCTCTGCACGTACAAAAACACCAGCAGATCATGAACATCGACACCCCGTTCGTCCCCATTCCCTGGATCTGCGGGCAGAACCGAGAACAAAGTCTCGATCACGAGATCCGCGTCTCCGATCGAGATCTGGAGGGCTTCGGCTAGGGTTTGGGCGTCGACGCGAGGGGAAACCGAGAGGAGCTTGTCTCGCAAAGGGATTAGGGTTAGGGTTCCGTCGTTGAAGATGAGGTTGGGGATCGGAAGGAGGCCGTAGTCGAAGGATTCGCGACGAGGGAGGATGAGGAGAGAGGGCGATGGAGGAGGAGAATTTGGGGTTTCTTCAGAGCTCATTTTTTTCCCCTTTTTTTATTTTTTCGTTTTTTGGGTTTCGAGGGAGCGAAGTGAAGAGGATGGAGGAGATGGTAAATGTAAATGCAGTTTAGGGATTTTAACTATCTGCCCCCAAAAAGTCTCTCTTATTAGCCAATTTACTTCCAAATTCTGAATATTTACTAATTTATCATGCATTTTTCATAAATATTTGTAAATTTACTTTATAAATCTTAGTATTTGCAAAACTATCCCTCAGATAGTCAATTTTGGAAGAAATTACACTCAAAGCAATTAATTATCAGCTCTAATTAGCTAATTTGTAATCGCAATATAAAAATCATTAACAAAATATTAAATTTTAGCATCAAGTTGATTAGTTGTTGATTTTAGAGGGTATTTTTACACACAAAGTTGATGATTTAAGGGGTAGCTTTGCAAAAGCTAAGATTTGTGGGTTTTTTTTATAAATACACATGATTTAAGGTAGGGCTGAGCATGGTTCGGTTCAAACCGTAAAAACCGACCGAACCGACCCGAACCGATCCGAAAATATCGGTTTTATGAGTAGGGTGGTTCGGGTCGGTTTGAAAACTTTTCAACCCGAACCAACCCGAACCGACCGAATATAGTGCAATACTATCCATTCTGATCTCAAACCCTATCCGACCCGTTCCCAAATAGTCAAAGACTCAAACTCTAAACTTATTTTCTGGATCGTTATGGGTTGAAAACAATATTATTATATCAGTGTTTAATGCTTCATAATCTCCTACTTTGTTGATATTTTTTTTCTTTAACACAGTTTGTTGTTTGATAAGAAGTTTGATGGAGTTAGAACCAAACAAACCGAACCGAACCGCACCGAACCGACTTGCAACAGTTCGGTTCGGTTTTAAATTATAAGCGGTTCGGTTCGGTTGTTCAAATTTTAGTAAAAACCGAACCGAACCGACCGTTGCACAGGCCTAATTTAAGGTGTGTGCACGCTCACGTGTAATCTTTTTTTTTATTGAGTTAAATTAAAATATTCTTGTCGCTTAGCACTATTAAAATTCATACCTAGATGAGTGGGGATTCTATCGGTACACCGTATAAATAGAGGTGATTTATATCATTTACTAATGGTCAACTAGTTAGTTTGAGAATTATAACTCATTTTATTTATGATGTAGATCACAACATTCTTATAGGGATAATTCTAATAACATCGATATAGTACATAAGGATTCTATCAGGACCCTCTAAAGAAATGAGTGATTTATACAATATAGTAGATAGATCACTCCTTTTAAGTTTTTTATACTGTCCAATTATTTTCATTTACGCTAATCGTCCCGCTTGTATTACTATCCATCTATAACACACGACATAAAAAGAGACCAAAAATCACTCATAAATAATGCAATACATATTGCGTGCACCTTGCTCCGATACTTTGCTAGGAATCAAAGAAAGCGAAACCACCCCTAACATCAACGCAAACTAACATAATATTTGTAAATTCAAAAGGAAAGCAATGCAAATAACCACAAAACTGGAATGCCAAAAGAAAACATAGTCTAATCACAATTTAGCCATGCATTCACAAACAAGAAGTAGAGATATTTTCAGTACGTAAGTATAGAGCAATGCAGAAAAAACACTCCTCTAAAAAAGTTTGAGACCCTAACAATAATGGATAGAACCATCCGTTACGAGGTTACCTTACAAAGCTCTCAATGAATGTTGAGTCACTTCATGGACGTGATTGTTGGGTTTAAATCGAGTATATAGGCCAATATATTAAATAGATATGTATTATGTGTTATCAACCAAGGTTAGCCTATTAAAGTGATTTGATTAGGGTTTGGACTTTTAATGCATAATTAAAGTATGTGTCTCCTATGTGTAAAGACCAAAATATAATTGTGAATTCTATGATGGACTGAATTGATAATTATAAATAACTGATAACAGTTATAAATAGGGTTGTGGTTTCCTAATCTCTACGTATAATCTCTTTCTGATTTCTTATCTTCAGAAGGATTAGGGTTTCTCTAAGGATGATATATACGTAGAAGATTTGGAAGATCTACATCTCAAAAAACTCAAGAATCACATTCTACTACATGGATTCAGGTATGGTTCCGCATATTCTTAATTATTTTAATAGTTTGACATGAACAATCTTGTGATTGATTAGGGTTTTATCTATTAAAGTAAAAGTTTTCTTTTGATCTAACAATTGGTATCAGAGCGGTGTTCATGTTAATCTATTGAGAATCAATTTTAACTTCTGGTGTGATTCTCTTGTATGCTCTCAAATCTAAAAATCATTTTTTTTTAATTGTTTAATTTGAGAACAAAATTTGGTAGTTCTTCCTCTTATATATTCTTCTTGATTTCGGATTTAAAAGGATTATTATATTTTAAAATTTATGCATCTAATTTAGAAGAATTGATGTTTGATTGGAAAAAAAATTAAATTTTTTTTTGCTACAGTCCCTCTACAGTGCCGGCGGGGAAAAGAAAAGCTGCTACTGTATAGCCGATTTTGCTACATTATCACGCTTTTCCCGTTGATTTTGCTACATTAAAAGAATATTTTGCTACAATGCACGTAAATTTTCCGGTGTTGTTCTCCGTTGGCCCACTAATATGTTTGCAGGCTGAGATAAGTGTGGAGGCTTTAGGTTTGAGGATCATGATTAAAAAAACAAAGCAAAATATTGTAGTGGGCCGCCCCCATCATTGGCATGTTTTATAATAAAAAACGTAAGCAGGCCCATGTGAATCCTAGCGCATGCATGTATGCGTCAATATTTTTCCCCTGTGTTTGGAATTGGTTTATCTAGTTATTTATTTATTTATTTATTTGATTCAAAATTTTGACATTAAAGTTTATTAAAGATGTATAATGTATTAAAATGATTAATTGAAACAACATGTTACCAAAGTAGCCTCTCTTGTATAGATCAATTTATTTTTAAACATCAAAAGGCAGTGTGTGTATGGTTCATGCAAATATTAATTAGCCCAAATGAATGTTAATATTTGAATAAATCATATGCATAGATGTGGTGATAAATATGTGACAATTATTTGGTTTAACATGTGGACAATAAATTGGTCCAAAGAAATGTTTGCTGTTTGACATGTCTTATTGACAATGTTTAATCACTACACCAAGAGTGCCACTTACAAATTAATATTTTTATTCAAAGACTAAATATTAATGTTGTGTTAGGTATCTTGAGATGGGTATTTCCAATTTTAATTTGTTTTCTTATGTGAGCTTATTTATTTTCTTATGTTGTTCTCTGATTCAGTTATTAGTTTTGCTTTAAACATCACTACCAACATTAATTCCATTCCTATGCTAAATGACACCAACTTCAAGTCATGGTAAGAGAACGTTATGATAGTTCTCAGAGTCATGGATCTCGACCTTGTGTTAATGCTTCCTTCCCTTGCACCTCTTACGGACAAAAGTTCCACTGATGAGAAAAGAGACTTGGAGAGGTGGAAGAAGTCAAATCGCGTGTATATGATGATCATGAAGAGGGTCATTCCAGAAGCATTTAGGAGCACTATATCTGAGAAGATAACTACTGTCAAATAGTTCCTTGAGGACATTGAGAAAAGATTTGCTAAGAATGAAAAGGCTAAAACTAGTACCCTTTTGGCAAATCTTATCTCAATAAGATACAAAGGGAAATGAAACATTAGGGAGTACATCATGGATATGTCTCATACTGCTTCAAAGCTGAAAGCACTTAAGCCTGAACTCTCTGAGGACTTGCTTGTGCATTTAGTTCTTATATCTATTCCCACACAATTCAGTCAATTCAAAGTGAGTTATAATTGTCAAAAGGAGACTTAGTCTCTTAATGAGCTTATCCCGCATTGGGTGCAAGAAGAGGTAATGTTGAAGCAAGAGAAGACAGAAAGCACTTATTTGGCTAGTACTTCCAAGGACAAAGGGAAGAAAAGAATGAAAAATAAAGAAGCTGCAGAAGCTCAACCACAAAAGAAACAACACAAAGTAAATAATGGAGATGAGTGTTTCTTCTGTGGGGCTGCGGGACATAAGAAGAAAAACTGTACCAACTATCACACATGGTGTGCAAGAAGAGGAAAGGTTGAAGCAAGAGAAGACAGAAAGCACTCATTTGGCTAGTACTTCCAAGGACAAAGGGAAGAAAAGAATAAAAAATAAAGAAGCTGCAGAAGCTCAACCACAAAAGAAACAACACAAAGTAAATAATGGAGATGAGTGTTTCTTCTGTGGGGCTGCGGGGCATAAGAAGAAAAACTGTACCAACTATCACGCATGGCGTGCAAAAAAGGTATACTTTTCAATTTTGTTTATTTTGAGGTTAATTTATCTTCAATATCTAGACACACGTGATGGTTAGATTCTGCTGTCACAACTAACATCAGTGTATCTATGCAGGATTGCCTGAGCTGTCAAAAGCTAAGTGATGATGAAAGATACATCTATGTATGCGATGACAAGAAGGTTAAAGTTGAGGCAATCATGATATTTAGGTTATTGTTAAAGTCTAGTTGTTATTTGGATTTGAAAGAGACTTATGTAGTACCGTCATTTAGACGAAATTTAATTTATATTTATGTATTGGACAAATTTGGTTACTTTTGTTCTTTTGAAAATGTAAATTTAGTCTTTTTTAGAATTTAAATTTGGTTGTTACCGGTTCTTTACCTTATGTTGATAACATTTATTTGCTTAATATGGTTGCATCATATCATGAAACCTTGTAATTAAGCCCTCGAGGTGTAAAGAGAAAATTGACCCATGAGAATTCCGCTTCGTTATGGTATAAGAGATTAAGTCACATCTCCAAAAGGAGAATTGAGAGACTTGTGTCAAACGAGATTTTAGACCCCCTTGATTTTACAAATCTTGAAGTTTGTACTAATTGTATAAAGGAAAAACAAACAAACATAAGGAGATTTGGTTCCAACTGAGCTACATACGTCTTAGAATTAATACATACAGATATTTATGGGTCATTCCCTACAGTTTCTTAGAAATGGTCAAAAATATTTTATCACGTTCATAGACGAACTTTCGCGTTATGGCTACCTTTATCTTACATA